AGAAGCCAAAACCCCCAAATAATTCATAAGAAAATGGGGAAAAAAGATATAAAGAGACATTTCACCAAGTAGGATATGCAAACATTTCACCAATAGGATATGCAGTTAGCAAATAAAGGTAAAGGTAAAGGCCCTCCCGTTGATCGTCGATTTGCTCGAGCGGGCCCAGTAACGTCTCCATTGGAGACTTTGTTGTTACTGTGTTTGGCATATCGAATACTCTCGGTAGCTTGCCGGGCTCTCCGAGAGGGGTGGAGGAATCGAACTCGGGTTGGCCATGTTGGCCGTTTGTAAGGTGAATGCCCTACCCGCTGTGCTATCGCTCCAGCCCAAATAAGCACCCAAAAAAGATATTGAACTTTACATTAGTAAAATGCAAACTAATACTGCAAGAAGATATCACTACACAGACAATCAAAATACATATCATGACAGCACTAGTTACTGGCAAGGCTGTTAAATGAATTTGAATTTAATATGCACATGGACTGACTTTCAGTCAGCCTTTTGAAACTGCACACATGCAGAAACAAGCACACACATACAAGACTGCACACAGACACACACCACACACAAGGACACACACATAAATGGATATCTCATTTGTCCTTGTCTGTACATGTAGTCTTTGTGGTGTGTGTGTCCATTTAAAGAAATCCATTTAAAATTTCTCTTAAAATTTTAAATGGATTTCCTTAATCCATTTAAAAGTGAAGGTAAAATGGTGTAACCAGCCTGGAAACATTTTAGCAGTCTAAAGAAACTAAATAAGTCTTTGCTATACACTCCAGTGATTGTATGCCACAATATTTATTCCAGAGAAATAAAGACTTAAACTCACACAAAAACTATTCTATGAATGTTTGCAAAAATGTTCTTCATAGTAGCCCCAAACTGGGAACAACCCAGATGTTCTCCACCTGAAGAATTTATTAAACAAACTATGAAGTCCCTCCACTTGTAAGGGTTACATCCCCCAAAAGAAATGCATAAGGTAAAAGGCAAATCCTGGACCGGAATGATAGTACAGCAGGGAGGGCATTTGCTTTGCATGCAGCTGACCTGGGTTCAATCCCCGGCTTCTCATATGGTCCCCCAAGCACCACCAGGAGTAATTCCTGAATGCAGAGCCAGGAGTAACCTCTGAGCATTGGCTGAGTGTGATCCAAAAACAAAACAAAACAAAACAAAAATCCTCTCTCTTCTAAAAAACTTTACCATCCCTTCATGGTTACAGAGGAAGTAGCACTAGACAAGACTTAATCGTGAGAATGGCAAAAATCAAATAAATAAATAAAGGCAAAAAGATCACACCACACTCTGCGTAATCCAATTGGTAGAACATCCTGGAAATTTTGAAATGGAGAACAAATGAGTCGTTTCAACAAGGGTTAGGGGAATGGGGATAGGGGGAGCAGAGGCGGTACACAAGGACAATTCTTGCGATGTCCGTGCCTGGACCCTCAATGTCATTATCCTGTCCTAGAGTTTTATGAGGAGTTTCCATTGCTATAGAGGGCATGAGGCCTCTCTCTGTATTACTTCTTCCAACGCTCTGTGAATGTCTACAATGACCCCCAAGTAGTTTTGTTTGGGGTTTTCTTGAGGGCTATTATTTGTGTGTGTGTGTGTGTGTGTGTGTGTGTGTGTGTGTGTCTTTTTTGAGTCACACCCAGCGGCGCTCAGGGGTTACTCCTGGCTCTGCACTCAGGAATTACTCCTGACTGTGCTCAGGGGAGCCCATGGGGCTGGGGAGACTGGGGATCAAACCCGGGTGGGCCGTATGCAAGGCAAACACCCCCCCACTGTATTATCGTTCTGGCCCAAAAGTTATTTTGGGGAGGCCACACTTGGTGGTGCTCAGGGATTACTCCTGGATCTGTGCTCAGGGCTCATTCCTGGTGGGGCTTGGGAAACCATATGGGATGCCGGGGATTGAACCTGGTTTTCCTGTGGGCAAGCAAGCACCCTTCCCGCTATCCTACCTATCTCTCCAGCCCCATAGTGTGGTTGTTTGTCTATTTTTTAATTTAAACGTCAGATACAGAAGGGCACAAACCGAATCTCGTAACCCCCAGATTCCCAGTCTGCACGCCACCCTCGAGACTCGTTTCCTTCACGAGAGGCGCCCACGTGCTTTTAGCTGCCATTTCCCCTCTACTTCCCCTGACAGCTCCAGCAAAGCTCGTCCTTCCAACTTCCACACAGTGTACTCAGTCAAGAATGTTGGAACTGGGAACACTGGGAACAATCGCTACCTCCAAGGTGGATCCCCCGCTCCCCAAGTGAATAAGCAGAGCCTTCTCAGCAGAGTCAATTTGAAGGCACCCCAGCCCCCTAGAATTGTGCTAGAAGTTTCCACTGGGATAGAGGGCATGAGGCATGTCTCTGTTTTACTTCTGACCCGGGGCTGCTGCACCCAACGGTGCAGTTAAAATAAATCCCGGGCAGTTAAAATAAATCTCGCCCGCAGAGAAGGCCTTTAGCCACTTCTTTAGCTGAAGTTCGAGGGCCAGCCAGGCCTCTGCTTGGCTCAAGCTCCCTGGCGCTGACCTGGCCAAACTCTTCTCCAAGGCTATTCTATTTCGTAATCGAGAGCACAGGCTTATGTCACCCTGTAAACAGCGACATTGAGACATCGATTGGGGGCGAGCTGCAGCTCTTTTCAACACCGCCCTGATGTCAAGTTGCTTACAAGAGTGAGACACAAAAAGCTGCGGAGGTCTGTGCGAGAGGACGCTTAATCGCAGGCCTGGGAACACAGGTATTGTCTCTCAGGGCTACAGGTGGGAGAAGGGCAAGCCCAGGATAAATGGAGGCACGGCTGGACCCAGAGGACCTGGACTCCAAGTCCAGTGCTCATTCCTAAGTGCCCCACGCCCCTGCCCCAACTACATTGCCTGGCCTCTGTAGGCAATGAGAGATTTTGTTGTGGGGTTCAAACTCCTAAGCACAGAAAGAGTTGCTGTGAATGAGTGGAGGTGGAGGGCCAAGGACTGGACAAGCACACCTGCAGCTTTATGTTTCGGGGGGGGGGTCTCTTCATGTGTTATGAGTCATGATGTGTGTGGATTGTATGATATGACTGTGTCTTCCGGGGGATTGTATGATATGACCGTGCCTTCCTATGCGTGTTGCAGTGATTTGTGTGTCTCCATGGGTTGGAGGTTCTGTGCATTTGAGGATGCATATGTCTGTGTTGTCTGTATGTGTGTGCTTGTGTGTCCGCATGTGCACAGTGTCACAGGACTGACAGAGGGGCAACATGTGTGCACCTGTGCATGTGGCCTGCGTGCCTGTGTGATTTGATGTCTGAGTATCCATGTGTGGTTCCTGTGGGCTGTGTCTGCCTGTGTGCTATCAGTGTGTGTGTGTTTGTGTGTGTTTGTGGAGTCTTGTATAGTGTGCATGTCTGGGTGTGGTATGTGTGTCCTTGTGTGTGGTGTGTGTGTCTGTGTGCAGTCATTTGTAGTGTGTGTATGTTGTTTGTGTCAACATGTGTGAAGTTTTGAATAGTGTGTGTGTCCTTGTGTATTGTAGTCTTGTGTAGTGTATATGTGTGGTGTGTGTCGGTGTGTGGTGTGTGTCTGTGTGCACAGTCCCGTGCAGTGTATGTGTGTATGTGTGGTGCTTGTGTCCTCACGTGTGAAGTCTTCAATAGCGTGTGTGTCCTTCTGTATTGTAATCTTGTGTAGTGTATATGTGTGGTGTGTGACTGTGTGTGCGGTGTGTCCCTGCATGCACAGTCCTGTGCAATGTGTGAGTGTGTGTGTATGTGGTGCTTGTGTCCCCATGTGAGAAGTCTTGAATAGCGTGTGTGCCCTTGTGCATGGAGTCTCGTGTAGTGTATCCGGTGTGTGTGTGTGTGTGTGTGTGTGTGTGTGTGTGCGCGCGTGCGTCTGTCTGTCCTTGTGCACCGCGTCCTGTGCGGTGTGCGTTCGCGTGCAGTCTGCAGGAGGCTTGTGTCCCAGGGCGGGGGTCTGCGCGCGCGCGCGCGCGTATATGTGTGTGTGTGTGTGTGTGCGCGGCCGCGCGCGGGGTGCGCGCGCGGGGAACCTTCCCGGGAGCGCAGCTGGCTTCGGGGGCCCATGACGGGTCCCCGGCGGGTGGCAGCCCGGGCCCGGGCGGCGGGCTGCGCCCTGCTCCTCCCCGCGGCCCGGGCACACGTGGGCCCGGGGCGCCGCCTCCCCGCGCCGCCCGCCGGCCCCGCGCGTCCCCACCCTCCGCGGGCCGCCCCCGCCGCCGAGCCGGCCCGGGGATAAAGTGGCGGCGCAGACGCCGCGCCCTGTCGCCGCGGAGCCGGCGGCGCGCAGCTCGGCCCGGTCCCGACCCGCCCGCCGCAGACGAGGAGCCGCGCAGTCGGGGGAAGGCGACGGCCGCGCGGCCCCCGCCCCAGCCAGCCGGTGCCGTCATCAGAGGTGGGGAGCGGCTCGGGGGTCCCGGCGCGCGCGCGCGCGCACGAGAGCGTGTGCGCGCGGGTCCGTGCGCGCGCGCGCGTCCTCCCCTGCGCCCTCGCGCCGGCCCCCGACCAACTTGTGCCCCCTCCCGCCAGCTGCCTCTGCCCAGGTGCCCACCGGGGCCGCGCGGCGGACGGCGCGGCTGGAGTCGCCGGGAGGCGCCCCCCTCGGGGACGGCGGCGACGCGCCTTCCCCGCGCTGTCGAGGACGGCGGGAGGCAAAGTTTGTCAGGAGGCTCCGGGGTGACTTTGCCCGGGGGACCCGCGGTTCGGTGCCCGCGCCAGGTGCCTCGGGGCGCGCGCGGAGCTAGTTCCCCAGTTTCGCGGCCGCCCGACCCCTCGCCTCCCCCCAGCACCCCCCAGCGGATCTGCTTCGGAAAAGTGATGACATGAACTTGTAGTGGAGAATTGGCAGGCGCCGGTCCCCGCCCTGGGAAGGGAGGGGACCCCAGAGATCGGGGCGATCTGCCAGCCGGCTCCGACGCGCAGCGCCCCAAAGCCCGAGAGGCAGGGCGCGGGGAGGGGGATCAGGGCTGCTTGGATGCCGCCCGGCGCCCACCGACATGAGGGAGCATCTCTCTTAAGCCCGGGTCTGATTCTCGAGGCCGACGTGGTGGTGGTGGTGGAGGTGGTGGTGGTCGTGGTGGTCGTGGTGGAATGCAAGAGCCAGGACGTGATGGAAACAGGTTTGTCGCGGCATCTTTGGAATTTCAGGCAGGAGGAATTAATCGGAGTGTCGTGCACCTCGTTATTGTGCCCCTTTGAAACTTCCTTGGGGAATTTTCAGATACATGGGGTTTCTTGCAGCTGGGTCTTTATACCCACAGAGCTGACTATAATTTCCACTTGATTACAGCTAAAATAGTCTTTAAGATGAAGTTTCCTGAAATGATTTAAAATACACACAGATGGGCAGGGGTGGGGAGGGGGGGGAGCTGTAATGAGGCACTTTTAAAAAAAGAGCATTTTTTCCTTAAGAACAAATGGGATATATATATATATATATATATTAAATATCTTTGAAATGGAGGTATGTGTGTGTGTGTGTGTGTTTAACTGCTTTTTTAAAAAAATGTTACTGATTCTGAATGAGGCTCTCTCACTGTTTTTTGCCATCTTTTGACTTTGGAATATGTCTTCCTTTCTTCCAAGGACTTGAGGATCGTCTCAGAATGCCGGAGGAAAGTTCTCCCAGGCAGACACCACAGAATGTTCCCTACCAGGATCTCCCCCATCTGGTCAACGCGGATGGCCAGTACCTCTTCTGCAGGTACTGGAAACCAGCACATGCGCCCAAGTAAGTCTCCTGGTCTGCCCCGTGTGCAGGGAACAGGCACCCCGGCCCCTCCTCCTCTACTCCCCTCCCCCTTTCCTGCAGGACCCCTTTCTACATGACCTACTTCACAGATCATCTTCATGTCAGGCTTAGCAGGGCTAAAAACGCCAGGATTTATACATTAGCTCCCCCCCCCCCCCCACAGTCCCCCAACCCCCGTTGAGAAGCTGGAGTTTGGTCAGGGCTGATTACTCAGCGGCGAGCACTCGAGTTGCATGTGTGAGGTCCTGGGTTGGATCCTCGGGTCTGGGGCGGGGGAGAGAGAAGTAGGAGTTCTATTTTCATTTTATAACAACTCGGCTACAGATTCTACCGTATGGCAGTTTTCAAAAAATTCCACATGACTTTATTTTTTTTTCCTTGGACTTGGTTTTCTGTTGGTTGTGCGGGCTTTCCTTCTGAACTCAACCCTCCCAAATGACAGAAAGCCACCTGATCAGATAAGCAAATCCTGTATGGATGCATTTACATTGCATAAACATGTGTGTTTCATGCAAACCTAGATGGTCACCTTTGTTCTCGCTTCCTGTTGGATTAGGAGCCTCAGAAGTGCTGTGGGTTTGCAACTAGGAAGAAAGGGTCTGGGTATTTCCTTCTGATTTCTCGCCAGCGCAATTACTTTGTACATTTTCCATCAAGAATTTGTCTTGCTATTAGAAACGGGCGTTGGGACAGGCATACAATAAGACAGCTGGTCTCCCGCGGCTCTCCTCCTCTCGCACAAAACAGGGAAAACCCTGCGTGTTTGTGTCATTAGAGAAAGAAATCGTGTGTGGTAACCAATTGGCCTAGTGACAAATGAACATTTCCTGTTCATGGGCATTCTACCTGTTCCCTGGGCCTTTGGCCTCCTGGGGAATCCGGTGTCGAGTCTGCCTCCCTTTGTGTTCCTATAAGCACCCAACCCTGGCCTGGCTATAATATTTCTCTGTGTCTTTAAACAAGATAGATAGAATTCAGGTAGCGGTGTATTTAAAAAAAAAAAAAAGAAAAAAGAAAAACAAGAGATGCAAACTTACAAAGATCTGGTTTAAAATCCTAGCTTTCGGACAGTTCTAGCAATTCTTCTTAGTATTTTCTAGCAGTTCTGATGATATCTTTCATAAAGATTTGCTCCAGAGTGTGCTGTTTGTATGTGCTTCTGCCTGGTGGGGGAGGGGGGTTGGAGAAGGGTGGGGAAGAGGAAAGTTGAGGGAAATGAGAGAGAGTTCTTTCTCATTCAGGCTTGTTCTGCGCCCTCAGATCCCTGGTTGTAGAATTGCATGTTCTCGATGAAGTCTTCATGACTTAGTGGTCCTTCTTTGTGAATTTTCAAGACTTCAAAAGAAAACTGGTGGAGGGGAGGGCGCTGGAGCGATAGTCCAGTGGGGAGGGTTCTTGCCTTGCAGACAGCCAACCCAGGTTCCATCCCCAGCATCTCATATCTTCCCCCAGAGCACGCCAGGAGTGATTCCTGAGTGCAGAGCCAGGAGTAACCCCTGAGCATTGCTGAGTGTGGCCCAAATCAAACAAACAAAACAAAAACTAAAAACAAAAAACAAAAAAATAAAAACACCCCCCTCCCCAAAGAAAAGAACAAGCAATGCAAAGTAGAAGTTTCCATGTCTCCCGTGTCAGACTTGGGGGCTTTCTTGGTTGCAGGGCCGGGGGTTGTCCTAGTTTGAGGGGGGCAGAGCAGGTTGTGAGTGAGCTCAGAACTGGGCATTGGCTGCTTTTCCTGGGCAGAGGCTGGTGTGTGCTTCCCTATGCCAAGGGTGCCAGCAGTGGGCACTTTCTCCATGGTTTTGCTCCTGCCCCAGTTAGCAATGGCATCCCGGGAGATGGGCTGCCTCTGGGAAGCTGGCACTGGCCTTGTGGATCTGACGGGAGTAAGAGCTGAGGCCACCAGCCCCTCGGCTTTGAAGATCAGAATGGCTGGGAGGGCAGAGAATGGCCATGCTTCGTAGTCCCTGGCAAGTCCCTGAGTGTCCATCCTGGTGCTAGCTCCCAGCCCCCATAGCACTCCCCCCTGACCCAGCCACCCAGGGGCCCTGGAAACTGATGCAGATCCTTAAATTCCCTTTGGGGGTCCCTGCCCCCACTTCTATCCAAGGATCTTTAATGCATTTCACCAGAAGCAGCCCCAACCCATTAGAATGTTCTGGAGGCCCCCTGCTGGGGAACAGATATTAATTAACCTTGCCATTGCTGGAGCCTGGGAGGAAATGCTGGGGGGCGGGGAGGGGAGGGTGCGCCTGGAGGAGGGTCCAGGCAGCCTCCCGAGAGGGGTGGGGCGTGCAGAGGGGCGTCAGGGCAGAGGAGTGATTATGCCAACTGTGGCTCAGGAAGTGTGTCAGTATCTCAGTAAGAGACCCAGCTGCTCAGGCCGATAGCAGATGCCGGGCAGGCCCGGGCGAGGCTTCTCTGCATGTCGGGTCTTTCAGAATTGCAGTCTCCTGCTCTGAGGAAGGGGGAGGGGACCTCAGGTCAGGGCTGGCCTTGCTGTCCCCTCCAGGAAGCGCCCGCCAGTTCTTTCCCCCACCCCCCCCACCCCCAGTGCAATGTGTCTTCTACTGCTAGAGGTGCAGGCTAATACTGGTTAAATATCTTTTCACTGTGCTGCTTTTTTTTTTTTAATGCATGAACAAAACTTTCTTCAGGTCCTTAGGGTCTCACAAGCCATCCTAGGTTCCCATGCCCAGAGGGGTCGGCGCCCACCTCTGTTTGGGAGGCCTTGGCACTGCTTTGAGTAAACCTTCTGGTCAGCAAATTGTCTCCAGCTGCTAAGTAATGTCAGAGCACCTGCTGTGCTGGGCTGGGCTGGTCTCTAAGGGTCCACCCCCACCCCACCACCACCTCCCCGCCCCGCCCCGCCTCACACCAACCCCAGGAGGTTGCCAGCCATACTGATCACAGGTGGCAACGGCATTAGGAAACTTGCACAACCAGCTCTTGTGGGACCAATGACATCTTTATAGATACCAGTTTCCTCCTGGGGCACCCAAGCAAGAAGGTGATATTAATCGGTACACAGCATCCCCAATGCAACTTTTTTTTTGTATTGTATTGTGTACAGTTTTTGTTGAGTTTTGTTGGGGGGACTTCAAGGGATGGTCCTTGGGGAAACTACTCTGGGCACAGTGCCGGGGGACTGGGCAGTGCTGAGACTGGAACCTAGGGCTCCCACGTGTCGAAGGGGCTTGGAACATCGCCGCGGCCCACACTCTGTCGTATTTAACAGAGCAGACCGGGGGCTCAGTACTTAATCATTACGCACCAGATATTTTTAAACCTACACTTGGCAGGGCCAGGCAAATTCCTACGCATCTAGTAGTACGTCCAGTGAGAAGAAACATTATGTTTAACGTATGGCAGAGTCACCTCCGATTCACATCCCGCGTATGTATGCCGGGGGCTGGACTTGTCTGAGCGCCATCCGTTTTATCTTCACTTCAACCTTCGAGGCATATTCTTCTCGGTCTTCCCACTTTCCAGATGAGAAAAACCGAGGCACAAGAGGACTCAGCGGGCAGTGGTTAGATTGGGTCCAGGCTCCTCCGGCTCCAGGCTCTTTGTTCTTCATAGCCGGTTAAGCAAGACAGACTTAAAAATAAATAAATAGGGGCCATGCCCAGCAGTGCTGGAGGAACCCGGCGCCATTCTATGGGCTACTCAGTCAGGGGAGCAGGTGTCCAGCGGTGATTCCAAGCTCAGAAGCAAACAGTGCTCAGGGCTTCTGGCTCCATCTCTGGGCCACATCCCTGGTCCTGAGGAGTAGCGCCTCCTGGCCAAGACGCCCTTTTTATTTGGCGTAGAGGCACAGCACGGTATTCCCAAGCTGTTTGGTCACCTCGTAGACATGGGGAAGTTGATGGCAGAGCACAGAGCCAGGAGGAAACAAAAGGCCTCTCCCTAGGGACCGGTGCTGCTGCTGTCTCCATGTTCAGAAACTGGGCCTTTAAACGAATTCTGGTCCCTAGGTGAATTTCTGCTGCTTCCATTAGTAGGAGAGTAGATTCTGGTCCAGATGCAGAGCCTCAGGGTGTTGAGTTGCTTTGGGGGGCGCTGGTGTCCTCGAGTGAAAGGCAGCAACTTTGAATTTCGAGCCCCTCCCCCAGTTCCCTGAATCCATAGAAAGGGCCACGACTTGACTTGAGTCTCACTTAGCTAATGGCTAAAGGGGCCGGCGCCCGTGCGGTGATCCTATTGGGGGCGGGAGGTTTCTGGAATAATATTCAACGGGATGACATGATGTAGGGCTCCCCAAAGCCCTCCTTAGATGCTGTGTGCCCAGGAAGGCGGGGCAGCCCGCCGCTATAATGATTCGATTATCCAGCTGTGACCCGAAGTCCGGGGTGAGGTCCAGAGTCGTCTTGGTGCCTCTCTGCACGCCAGGCATTTCCCAACACCCTGCCTTGGTGCACTTCATCTGCCGGTGGAACTGACGCCTCCCTCGTGATCTGGGTGCCCCAAGGTCCCAGGCACCTGTGGAGTGGCCCTGACTTCAGTCACTTCTGCCACCCGAGCTGGTGCACAATGCTCTAGTGCAGATGTCCCGAGGCACCCGAGGGAGGGAGGGAGGGAGGTGCGCCCTCCCACCGAGTCTGGGATTCACAAGTGACTCATTCTGGAACGGTCCAGCTCGCATCTTGTCTCGGGATCCCCCTGTAACACTATTCAGAGTTGGGCCTTTCCAGCTCACGCTGGCCCTTCCTCGCTGGCTCCTCTCTCTCTCTCTCTCTCTCTCTCTCTCTCTCTCTCTCTCTCTCTCTCTCTTTCTCTCTCTCTCTCTCTCTCTCTCTGGCCTCTGACTTCAATAACAGGCTCTTTCCCTCCCTGTCATCCATCACCAGCCCCACGTAGGAGGGTTAGCTCATCCCTCAGGTCCCTGAGCCCATCCAGGAGAGATCCCTGAGCACAGAACCAAGAGTCAGCCCTGAGCATTGCCCGCCGTGACCCCGAAACCAAAAGCATAGGGAGAA